GGAGGAAGTGGGAGGGGAGCTGTTGCATTGTAAATTTTGGTCAATGACATGAGACAAAGTATATTATGTGAACTGCTGTATGAAAAGTGAGTTTACGCTGTAAATCTTCACCCAAATCAAAATAAAATTAAAAAAAAAAGAAAAAAAGCATACATGAAGAAAGCAAATGGGTCATTAAAAAGGAAGAAAAGACCAAAATAGATGTCAAAAGGGATGCTAAAATTTGCTGTTAAGTGTAGAGTACCTAAAGAGAATGGAAGAATGTTGAAGGAAAAGAACTAAACAGAAGATTTCAAAGGACAGCTTGACAATACAAGGTAAAGTACTATAATGAAACGTGCAAAGATTTGGAGTTAGAAAACCCAAGGAGAAGAAAACCCAAAGAGAAAAACACGCTTTGCATTTCTTGAGTGGAAAGAACTGAAGAAAAATATTCAAGCCTTCACTTGCAACACTGAAGGATTCAAAGGGCAAAATGCTAAAAAATGCAGGAAGCATCAAAAAAAGATGGAAGACACAGAGTCACTGTACCAAAAAGAACTGGTCGGTGTCCAACTATTTCAGGGAGTAGCATATGATCAAGAACGAAGGTACTGAAGGACAAAGTCCAAGCTGCACTGAAGGAATTGGCAAAAAACAAGGTTCCAGGAATTGACTGAATAGCCATTGAGATATTTCAATAAATGGATGCAGCATTGGAGGTGCTCATTTGTTTATGCCAAGAAATTTGGAAGGCAGTCACCTGGCCAACTGACTAGAAGAGATTCATATTTGTGCTCATTCCAAAGAAAGGTGATCCAACAGAATGTGGAAATTATTGAACAACATCATTTATATCATATGCAAGTAAAATCTTGCTGAAAATAATTCAAAAACCGTTTCAGCAGTATACTAACAGAGAACTTCCAGAAATTCAAGCTGAATTCAGAAGCAGACATGGAATGAGGTTATCAAATGCTGATGTCTTAGCTGATGATCTTAGCTGAAAGCAATGAATACCAGAAACAAGTCTACCAGTTTTATTCACTATGCAAGGTCTGTGTGGACCATAACAAATTATGAATAACACTGCGAAGAATGAGATTTCTAGAACACTTAATAGTCCTCGTGAGGAACCTGTACATAGACCATCAAGAGGCTGTCATTCAAGCAAAACAAGGGGATACTGCATGATTTAAATTCAGGAAGGGTGTGTGTCAGGGTTGTATCCTTTCACCATACTTATTCAATCTGTATTCTAAAGAAATAATCAGAGAAACTGTACTATATGAAGACGTATGTGTCATCAGGATTGGAGGAACAACCTGCAATATGCAGATGACACAATCTTGTTTGCTGAAAGTAAAGATGACTTAAAGCACTTACTGATGAAGATCAAAGACTACAATCTTCAGTATGGATACACCTCAACATAAAGAAAACAAAAATCCTCACAACTGGACCAGTAAGCAACATCATGAGAAATGGAAAAAATATTCAAATTGTCAGGGATTTCATTTTCCTTAGATGCTCAGTCAACATTCATGGAAGCAGCGGTCAGGAAATCAGACATTGTACTGCACTGGGAAAATCTGTTGCAAAAGACCTCTTTAAAATGCTGAAGAGCAAAGATGCCACTTAGAGGACTAAGGTGCACCTGACCTAAGCCATGGCATTTTCAACTAACTCACATGCATATAGAAGATAGAAAACGAAAAAGGAAGACTGAAGAGTCAATGCCTTTGAACTGTGGTGTTGGTGAAGAATACTAGAAATACCATGGACTGCCAGAAAAATGTGTCCTGGAAGAAATATGGCCAGAATGCTCCTTAGAAGTGAGAATGAGCAGAGTTTATCTCACCTACTTTGGTCATGCTGTCAGAAGGGACTATTCCCTGGAGAAGGATATCATCTTTGACAAAGTACAGGGTGAGCAAAGAAGGGGAAGACTGTCAATGAGATGGATTTACACAGTGGCTGCAACAATGGGCTCAAGCATACCAAGGATTGTGAGGATAGAGGAGGACCAGGCAGTGTTTCATTCTGTTTGTTGTACATAGAGTTGCTATGAGTCAGAGCTGACTTGATGGCACCCAACAAGTGGTGGGGGGGGGGTCCAAAGAAACAAATGGTCAACAAGCACATGAAAAGATGCTCAACATCATCAGTCATAAGAAAATGCAAATCAGAAACCCAATGAGGTATCACTTCATCTCTAAAAAGTTGACAACGATATAAAAAAAATAATATTAAAAAAAAAGAAGAAATACAACATGTGTTGCTGAGGATGTGAAGATATTGGAATTCTCATCCATTCCTGGTGAGAATTTTTAATAATAGCTGCTATGGAAAACAGTTTGGTGGTTCCTGAAAAAGTTAAAAGTTATGACCCACCAATTCCATTCCTAAGTATATCTCAAAACAACTCAAAGTAGGAATGCAAACACTGATACATGTACACCAATATTCATCGTGGCACTATTCACAACAGCCAAGTCAGAAATAACTTAAGATGTCAAGCAAATGAACAAATAAACAAAATATAGCATATATATACAATGGAATATTACTCAGGCATAAAGAGAAATGAAATCCTGATACATGCTAAAACATGGATAGGCCCTGAAAACATTATGCTAAATGAAATACATTAGTAACCAAAGGATAAATATTGTATGATCCCACTTACATGAAATAGTTAGGATAGGCAAAACAGAGAGACCAAAGTTCATTAGCTGTTACCAGAAGCAAGAAGGAAGGGGTCAGGGCTATTCATACAGTTTTCCACTAATACATCAGACAGTGTTCCATTGCTATTCATAAAGTTTTCACTGGACAATTCTTTGAGAAGTGGATGGCCCCTTCCTTCTTCCGAGTCTGCCTTAGTCTGGAAGCTCCACTGAAACCTGTCCACCATGGGTGACCCTGCTGGTATTTGAAATACCGACAGCACAGCCTGCAGCCTCACAGCAACACACAAGCCACCACAGTACAACAAACTGACAGATGAGTGACAGTATATGTGCTATAAGCATGTACAAAAACACACAGAGTTAATATACACTAGAGTTCATGTATAATAGAGTTAATGGGGCAAAGTTATGGTAACTTCTTACCCACAGCCAAACACCTTGAAGGAAGTGAGTCTCTGAGCCTATGGACTCGGACTATGGTCATAGGAGACATCAAACTGAACTGGCATGACATACTACACAAAAACACTGTTCTACATCCTACTTTGGTAAGTAGCAATTAGGGTCTTAAAAGCTTGCAAGTGGCCACCTAAGATGGAACAACTGGTCTCTGCTTGTTTGGAGCAAGAAGAACAAAGAAAATCAAAGATGCATGGAAAACAATTAGGCCAAGGGACTAGTGAACCACGCAAAAGCTCAGCCAACTTGACTCTGAGACCCAAAAAACTAGACTGTGCCTGGCTACTACTGTTAACCACTCAGATAAGGGATCAAAATAGAAGATCCTGAATAGAGTAGGAGAAAAATGTGGAATAAAACTCAAAATCATAAAAAAAGATCAGCCTTACTGGTCTAATAGAGACTGGTGAAATCCCTGAGACTATTGGCCTCTAGTCACCCATTAGGCCTGGAATTGAACTCACTCCCATGGCTTCCAGCCAGACAACAGATAGGCCTATAAGGTAAACATTTATACCAGGTAGGTATACTCTTTAGAACAATCAATCATGGGAGGTCAGAAGGGCAGCATTCATTAAGGGAGACAGCTCAGAGGGCAGGAATGCACAGGAAAGAACACAAGGAAGAGGTAATTACCAGGATGAACTGGGAAGACAGTTGCTACATTATGGGAATTGCTATCAATGTCATGAAACAAAATGTGCAAGAATTGTTGAACGGAAAATGAATCTGCTCTGTAAATTTTCACCCAAATCACAATTTATAAATAAATAACATTAGCTTATTGTAAAATATGCAATTAATGTAGGATGTAAAAACTAAATCTTCCCTTTTCTACTCATCCAACATCATTCGTGTGGATATTTCCAGACTTTTGTCTATTGAATCTATTTTCTTACTTAGGTATTTATTTCAAATCAAATACTTAGCTTAGAATAGAAACCTGAAATTCAGTAAGTACAGTACACACATACATGTACACACATATGCACATGCAAAAAAACTGTTGGCATTTTCCTAAATGCTAAGTACTAAAGTACCTGGCAATGAGATTGGATTAAAAATTTCAAAGACTCTAACTCAAAGAACTCCAAACTATTCAGATTATACTATCAATATCAGGAGGAGGTCTTGGACTGGAAGCCAGAACACAAACTATTGGTTCAATGCAACAGTACCTGCTGAAAGGAATCTTCAAACAATGTTTTTCTTGTCACTGTAATCTTTATATGCTGAGGCATGGCCAGTTGCTGAAATAAAATGATGTAAGTCAATTTGCATCATTAAAACAGCCTATCAAAAAACCAGAAGGGGGAAAGTTTATTTATCTTTATCTTTGCATAGAAAAACAAGTATGACTATAAATGTGAATTTGTATTCAATATTGTTTAGGAATGCATTTGTGAACATTCATGCTAATTTTACTTTATTTAATAGCTAGCTATGTGAGAAACAGAAGAAAGTAAGTTTCCAGAGGCACAAGTGCTTATTTAAAAATATGGGTCAAATAAAACTTAATTTTCAAAAGGGTAATTTAGATTCTTCTTGTTTGCATGTTGTTGTTGTTATGTGCCATCGAGTCGGACCCGACTCATAGAGACGCCTCTTTGGGTTGCCAAGGCAGTATCACTATGGAAGTACATTGCCCAACCTTCCTTCCAAGGAGTGGCTGGTGGGTTTGAACCACCAGCCTTCTGGTTAGCAGTCAAGTGCCTTAGGCACTATGCTACCAGAGCTCTTGTTTGCATAGGCCCAGTTAATTACAAGAATTTTTAGTTTCAAAATATTCCTCATAGTAATATTTTGATCAGTGGTTCATTTTATTTAGAATTCACAGAAAAATCATTAATTCACTGAATGTTTGACCAAAAAACCAACTCCTCTGCCATCAAGTCGATTTCCACTCATAATAACCCCACAGGACAGAGTAGAACTGCCCCATAGGGTTTCCAAGGCTGTAAATCTCTATGGAAGCAGACTGCCTCATCTTTCTCCCACAGAGCAGCTGGTAGGTTTGAACCATCAACCTTTTGGTTAGCATGTAAATGTGTGAACCACTATGCCACTAGAGCTCCAATGTTTCTTTACACCTCAAAAATAGCTGATCACATCTGGAAAAAATACTCTGAATATAGATGTATCTAACAAAATGCTTCTGCTTATTTTGTATCAAATGTCTGATATGAAAGGGACTAGTTACAATTTATACACCAGAAAATGTTTTAACTTATGTTTGAAGATTTTTGTAATTTGTAAATCATGGTTTCTGCAGAAAGGGTACAATGTGTTCTTATTCAAATGATTTCAATTTATTCTGCTGGACAACAGAACTCACAAATTATCTAACTGATATATCTATTTCTTTGTCCTTTGCAGGTGAAAGGGATTCTAATGCTTCCCATTTTATCTGCTTTTTTATGGGTTACTATTTTCACCATCACTGTGTAATATAAGCAGCGTAACAAAGGAAGTGGAGTAAAGAAATCCAGTCCCAATACTAACCTGACACCAGAACCGGAAATACTGAACCTTTGCCTTGAAGTCCCGAACATAGGCTATCTGTGGTCCATTGTCTCTGAGGAAGAAAAGTGGTTAACATGATATATACAGCTGCTTGTCAGAGGTAGCTGAAGGAAACACACATACTCTCTCCCCTCAGTACTTAGCAAATGCAAAAATACCCTAAGTATACCCCTATACAACTCTCATTTATATTTTTTTTTTAGTAATACTTCCCAAAAACTATTTTTAGGTAACAGAAGGTAATAAACTTCAATCTTGTTAAAGCAATTGTTACAGGATTTTCTGTCATATGCAACCAAATCTAATACTAACTAGTTAGCCTGCAGGACTAGCTAACGGAGTAAGTTTCTATCTCTGAGTGTGCTGCCTACTCCAACATCCATTCTCTGTGTACTTAATTGACATACCTTGATATTTAACTGGGCATTCTGCCCACTAAGAGAGAGACTATATTCTCCAGTGCTGCCATATGACTAGATTCTGTGTAGATTCTGTGGAAGTGCTGTTTAGAACTTCTAGGATGATTCTTTAGAGAGAACTGAGATAGATGGAAAGGATTTGATTTTATTTGTCTTATTTATCTATCATGGGATCTCCATGAGTCAGAATGGATTCCATGGCAAACAACACCTACCTACTTACCTATCGTCAAACTGTCCTTACTGTATATTCCAACCCAGAGTGTAACAATAACAGATGAAGTTATCACAAGGTAACCTTGAGAAATAAAAGCATGCACTGGGATGAAAAACAAAAATAAAGAAGCTTAGAGTGCCCAAGCTAGCCCTGAACTTCATACCACTGGCACTACTTGCTCTTTTCCTTGGACTACTTCTAATTTCATTTCTGTTCATTACTAATACACAAAAAACAAATTATTTTTGTATATTGACTTTTATCCTGCAACAATGATGAATTTACTCATCAGTTCTAGTAATTTTATCTAGATTCCTTAGGATTCTCTATGTACACAACCATGTTATCTGTGGAAAACAAAACAATTTGATTTCTTCCTTTCCAATCCATATACAGGTTTCCTCTGCTATCCCTAAATTCCTATAAAACCTTTTGGAAGCCAAACTGGTACACAGTAAAAAAAAAAAATTAATATTAATTTATATGGAAAAAAATTTTGAGCATTCTCAGACCCCCAAAATAATCCACCAAATCAACATACAGTCTTTAAAGACCCAGTTCAAAGCTATGGCAGCTTGATGCAGAGATGCTGAGCATAGTTCCCAGGGAAGGAGTTTGGCAATGACACTGTCACTGCTCAATGTGTGCAATGCTTCTTTAAAAGCGTGCTGCAAAACAAACACTGGATGCTATTTTCGCTTTATTTCTTAAAAGGGAAAATCCTTTTCAGATTTTTTTCAGTTAGTGAAAACATGTAATAAACTACGTCTTTCATAAAAGCAAGTAGCATGAAGCAAATTTTTGAAAACGGGGGATACCTGTGTTTTGTTTCGTCGCGCTGGCTAGGACTACTCATATATGACAGTAGATACCATTGTTTCTGTCTTGCTCTTAAGGAATATTTCACCATTAAATGTAATGTTGGCTATAGGTTTTTCATGAATGCTCTTTTCCCAGGTAAGAAAGTTTACAAGTTGAGAGTTTATCATAAATTAGTATTTTGTCAAATACTTTTTCTGAAATGATTATTTGATTGTTCTCTTTTAATGTGTTAATATGGTAAATTAAACTGATTGTTACTTGTATGTTAAATCAATCTTGAATTCCTAAAATAAATTTCACTTCGTCATAATTTCATATCCCTTTTATAAACTGGTATATTTAATCTGCTATTATTAAGGATTTTTATACCTATGGTCATAAAAATATCAGTCTATAATTTTCTCTTCTTACACTGTCTTGTTAGATTTTCATATCAAGGTTATAGGAGACTCATAAAGTGAGTTGGGAAGTATTTCCATCTCCTTTATTTTATGAGTATGTTTGAATAAACCAGAATATTCTTTATAGGAAGTTGTTTAGTTATGGCTCAATTTCTTTACCATATATAAGACTACTGAGATTAACTATTTATTCTTATGTCCACTTTGGTAACTTGTTTCTTTTTCAAGGAATTTGTCCATTTGATCTAAGTAGGTTGTTCAAAATACCCCTCATTATCTTTTTACATCTGTATTATCTGTAGTGATGTCCCTCCTTCGTTTTGACATTGGTAATTTATGTGTTCTTTTTTTTTTTTCCCCATGAGGTGTACTAGGGATTTATCAGTATTATTAATCTTTTCAAAGAACCACCTTCTAGCTTGGATTTCTCTTCTTTAATTTTAATTTCATTAATTTCTGCTTTTATTTTTATTACTTCCTTTTTCTACTTTCTTTGGGCCTAATTCACTCTTCTTTTACTAACATCTTAAGGTAAAAGCAAGACCACTGATTTTATGTCTTTCTTATGTAGGTTTTTAAAGCAATAAATTTTCCTCTAAAGACTACTTTACCTATATCCCACAAATTGAGAAATCTTCTACTTTTACTATTACTCCGTATGATGTATTTCCTAATTTCTTTTCTCAATTCTTTCTGACTCATGGATTATTAGGCTGTGTAAGTCTCACTAAACTATTTTCAAGTGATGGAGATAAATATAGTTCTATCTTATATAAGTCATTTTATTTTGGTGTTTTCTGTTGTATGTACCCAAATTTAATTGTAATATGGAACGATACAACAGTTGTCTCTTTATGACTTACTTCCTCATCTACATCATTTCTGTATTGCATTAATATTTAAATGCTGTGATTTCCAACTTTCTCCTTTAAATCTGAAAGTATTTAATATGTAGAAAGTATAAAGTTAGAAAATAATAGGAATGAAAGAAAATAATCAGGCAGTAACAGATAGTAATGAACATGAAAGTCCCTACGGAAAATATTCATGAGAGAAAAATACAAAATATCTATAGTGTACAGAGACCACTGGCAAGCCAACTCAAGAAACAGTAAGACTTGCATTTCCTGCTAATTCAGATGTATATATTAAACTCTGAAGAACTAGTCTTACTTTTAATCTACAACATTTAGAAAACTTACAGGGCAGACTTTCCTGTGCGGGGATCTATGTAGGTTGTTGTTCTTCTATTGTGGTCCACAAAATACGGAATTCCATCCACAGTGAATCTCATTTCCCAGCCTTCTGGTAAGGGCTTTTCATTTAATTGACTATAAGATACATGACAAAATATAAATCAAATGAAAAATGTTAGAGCTGGCTTGTTTGCCAAAACAAAAACTATAAAGATGTAGTAGAAATCTTTTAGAACACCATTCAGTACAGAATTTCTCATTGTCTAGTAGATATCTCTATCTGGACATACTATAAGCACCAACTCAACAAGCCCATCAACTACCATTTAATCTTCACTATTTACTTTGTTTGTGTTCTCCATCTACCAAAGAACCAAAACCCACTACTGCTGAGTCAATTCTGACTCACAGCAACCTTATAGAGCAGAGTAGAACTGCCTCCTAGGGTTTTCCAAGCTGTATATCTCTGAAAATAGACTGCCACATCTTTCTCCTGTGGAGCAGTTGGTGGGTTCAAACTGCTGATCTTTCAGTTGGCAGCTGAACACTTTAACCACTGTGCCACTAGGGCACCTTATCTACCAGATAACTCACCCTAAACATCTTGTGGTAACCAAGCTCTGCTCCTTCTGACTAAGTTCATTCCTACTTTCAATCTCAAAAACCATCCTTTTTAGTTTTATTCACCACTTACCTAAATTCCCAACAGCTACCTAAAGGCTTTTTCTGTCTCTAGGAACTCTGGTCGTGTATTGGTTAAGGCATTTGGCTGCTAACCACAAGGTCAGTGGTTTGAACCCACTAGCTGTTCTGTGAAGAAATATACAACAATCTGCTTCTGTAAAGATTTACAGCCTTGGAAACCCAATGGAGGTTGCTATGAGTCACAATCGTCTTGATGGCAGTGAATTTTTCTTTTTTTCTTGAGTTTTGCTCTAGTCTTATTCTCATATTCCATACTTCTTACAGAACTATTTTTCTAAAATACAGTTCTGATCAAATAATGGTTCTCCATAAGGTCCTATCATTATCACCAATACCATTAGTAACATCTAAACTCCTCCACTTGACACTAATTCTGCCTCTATACTCTGATCCCAATGTTACTTTTCAGATTTATCTCCCTAGCCCAACCCCAAAGTCCCTTACATGAACTCTAGCAATGCTCTCTTATTTCTATTTTATTTTCAAAATGCCACTACTACAATCATAAAACACTATGTGGGAAAATGTAAACATTTAACCAAACGTTATTTCATTTTCATTTGGAAGCTTTCAACCTTCCTTAAATAAAACTATCAATATTCTGTAAACTATATCAAAAGTTAAAACTATTTTGCTATATTCAAATATCTGAATGCAATGTCACACACACCATAAATTTTAAGAAGATGATGTTAAATGCAACTACTTTTCATTTGTTGTAATTATATAAAACCAAATAAATTAGAATGAACTAGTCATCTGTGCTATTTATTAAAATATGAGTAATTTTAGCTCTAAAACGTTAAAGGTCCAAGAAATAACAAAAAAAAATGGTAGCAAATTACAGAAAGGTAACTTTGTCAAATCTATCCTTAGAGAATTTTAAAGAGAAAACTTAAATGTTGCCTTTGAAACTCTTCTTTCCTCCTGTTTTAAAACTGAAAAACCCTCTAGCAGTCTGATAAATGCACAGTATTACATACTGCATAGTATACCAAAAAAAAAAATTAATTGTATACATATAGTTTTTAAAGCATTAAAAAGATAAACTTGCGGTAATATTCTCTTTATCAATGCATTAACTACCAAATTCTTATGAAGACTAAGTAATGATGTATATAAACAATATTTTGAGACATCTGCAACAACCAGAATGATACAAAAATACCTGGGATCTCTACTGATGGCAAAGTCCTAGGCATTATTAATTTTACTATGGTTGTAGCCTACATTCATAACAGAAAGAAACAATTTCAGTTAAAGGTTAGTGAAAATGCTTACGTAATTTTGTTTTTCCTATCTAAATCACATATTCCTTGAATTTTTTCCAGTGATTCTAAGTTAAGAAACCCTGTTTTTGAATGATTAATCAGTGTTACTATTAACCTTAAGTAGGTATTTCTGGATATATAAGTATATTCTCATTTATCAGTGAAAACTTATCTTTCCAAAGTATGTGACAGACTGAAATTAAGGCCTTTGAGAAAAGACTGTAACTGATCCTCTTTATAACTGAGTCAGAAACAAGGCACACATCTTTAGGATGTTACATCTAGTAACTTTAAAGCTCTTACCCTTGACTTCTGGGGTCTTCCCACTGTGTAATACGAGTGTTGTGGTTGACAAAATATACTCTGCCATTGCTGTCTGTTCTTTTCTCTTAAATAAAACAAAGCATTAGAGTTGGCATAGTCTTCTTTCACAAATTAAAATAATATAATTAGCTCAATTTGCCCATTTCTTATTGCACTGTTGAAGTTTTTAAATCACAACTTTATAT